AAGGATCGGACCCCAAACCTCCTGCCAGAATGTCGCTTCCATCACAAGCCGTCCGTTGCAACTTCCTAACCTGCCGACTAGAACTGTATTTAATGAGAGACACTTCAGCTGCCTCCTGGCATTTCCAACCAAGCGTATACAAACAAACCAGGGGGTGGCCAGCTTCCCATGCCATTGGCAACCCTTTGGGGCTACATGCAGCCCATCAAAGCGGCCATCTAGAAGCTCACCCACTTGGTTCTAGGAAACAAGACGGAGCGCATCTACACTGTTGAATTAATGCAGTTTGGCACCACTCAATGCAATGGAAGCCTGAGATCTGTACTTGGGTAAGAAACCAGGGAAAGATCTAGGTCAACACATAATAATAAAAATGAAAATACATATGAGTGTGTGTGGCTGGGGTGTCGACTTACACAAACAAACAGCTCTAGTTCCCACAACTCAGGAGCCACCCATGGCCCTCCCTCCAATGACACTCCAGGTTATAGAGGGCACCAAGAACATGTCCAAGAGGCCTGGCAATGTTCTCCACAAACACCACACTGCCCACCACTCAAGTTAAGGCTCTCAAAGGGGGACAGTTTCATCCTAGCTTTTCTGTATTTCCTCCACCACAGGCACCTCAGTGTTCCTAACTCTTTTCATTGGTGTGGAATTTGCATGACCCCGCCCACTGCTTCTCTCATAACCCACGAGAGTCAAGACGGAGATCCACCCAAAGGAAAAGTGTTCTTGCCAGACGTCAAGGGAAACACTGACCGCAGAGGGAAGCCGAGGAAGAAACACAACATACACACTATCTCCAGACCCACCAAGGAAATCCAACCAATGCTCCGTTCAGCAAAGGACAAGAGGGTTCCCCTCGCTTCTGCAGGAGTCTACCATTGTGTAGCATGCAACTGTGGACAAGAAGTCTCCAGAGGGACCACCACACGCAGCAGCATGGCCCAGGCACGCATCAAGGAACATGGAAGGCACGCCAGACTCCTTCAACCAGAGAAGTCGGCCATAGCAGAGCACCTGAGGAACCCGCCTGGACACAGCAGATTATTGGAGAACACAGAAATGCTGGACCACTCCAACAACCACCATGTCGGACTACACAGAGAAGCCACTGACATACACAAACATGTGGACAATTTCAACAGAAAGGAGGAAACCATGAAAATGAACAAAATCTGGCTCCCAGTATTAAAAAAATCTAAAATTACAACAGCACAACAACAAAGGGGAAACAAACAGGGACATTTAATCACCTCTCAACAAAAGATTGATCTAGGCACTGCCAGGCCATGCTAATCAAGGTGGTCAGTTGAAGCATTCCCACCTAGCTCCAGCAGACAAGAGTCCTTTGTCCCACCTTGGTCATTCCACAGATATATAAACCCCTTTTCCTCGTTCCAACAGACCTCACTACCTCTGAGGATGCTTGTCATAGATGCAGGCGAAACGTCAGGAGAGAATGCCTCTAGACCATGGCCATATAGCCTGAAAAAACCTACAACAACCCATTCACACCTAGCTCCAACAGACAAGAGTCCTTTGTCCCACCCTGGACATTATTCCACAGATATATAAACCCTTTTTCCTACTTGAAACAGACCTCACTACCTCTGAGGATGCTTGCCATAGATGCAGGCGAAAAGTCAGGAGAGAATGCCTCTAGAACATGGCCATATAGCCCGAAAAAACCTACAACAACTCACTTAATTTCCAACAGATAGAGGTTGAGGGGTCAGTTGGAAACTAAGTGAGTTTTATCTATCTGTGGAATGTCCAAGGTGGGAGAAAGAACTCTTGTCTGCTTGAGGCACGTGTGAATGTTGCAATGTCCCACCATGATAAACATTTAATGGCCTGCAGTTTCAAGGCCTGTCTGGTTGCTTCCTGGGGGAATCCTTTGTTGGGAGGTGTTGGGAGAGAACCACTGACTGCATTGGGAAGTTGATGAAGAAACACAACCTACAAACTATCTCCAGACCCACCAAGAAAATCCAACCAATGCTCCGTTCAGCAAAGGACAAGAGGGATCCTCTCACTTCTGAAGGAGTCTCCCGTGGACCATTCACCCGTGGACAAGAAGTCTCCAGAGGGACCACCACACGCAGCAGCATTGCCTAGACATGAATCAAGGAACAGGAAAGGCATGGCAGACTCCTTCAACCAGAGAAGTCAGCCAGAGCAGAGCACCTGAGGAACCAACCTGGGCACAGCAGATTATTATTGGAGAACATTGGAGAAATGCTGGACCACTCTCACAACCATCATATCTGGCTAGACAGAGAAGCCATTGAAATCTACAAGAAACATGTGGACAATTTCAACAGAAAGGAGGAAACCATGAAAATGAACAAAATCTGGCTACCAGTATTAAAAAACCTCTAAAATCATAACAGTAAATAAAGAACACATTCAAAAACAGGGGAACTCCAGACAAGAAACAATCAAAGCCAGCTAATCGCCTTCCAACAAAGGATTGCCCCAGACAGTAAGAAGCCAGACCTTGACACTGTTAGGCCATTAAATGCTAATCAAGGTGGCCAATTGAAACATTCACACCTAACTCAAACAGACAAAAAGTTCTTATTCCCACCTTGGACATTATTCCACTAATACAGTAAAGGTAAAGGGTTTCCCCTGAATTTAAGTCCAGTCGTGTCTGACTCTGGGGTGTGGTGCTCGTCTCCATTTCCAAGCCAAAGAGCCGGCGTTGTCTATAGACACTTCCAAGGTCATTTGGCCGGCATGACTGCATGGAGCGCCATTACTTTCCTGCTAGAGCAGTATCTATTGATCTACTCACATGTGCATGTTTTTGAACTGCTAGGTTGGCAGAAGCTGGGGCTGACAGAGGAAGCTCATGCCGCTCCCCGGATTTGAGCCTGTGACCTTTTTGGTTAACAAGCTCGGCAGCTCACTGCATCACTGGGGGCTCCACAGATATATACACCCCAATTTTCCAAGTTTCCAACAGACCTCACAACCTCTGAGGATGCCTGCCATAGATGTGGGCGAAGCGTCAGGAGAGAATGCTTCTGGACATGGCCAGGTACCCCGGAAAACTCACAGCAACCCAGTGGTTCTGGACATGGAAGCCTTTGACAATACGATCTTATGTTTGCTTTGACTCTGTGCCTCAGCTACTTTGGACCTACCTTCTTGGTTCCCCAGGCAAACAGACTGAATGGATTTCGAATACGGTGCCGAGCGCTCTCTGGCTTTTTCTGCCGCCACAGGATCCCGAAGCCAAAACAAATGGAAAAAGCAATCCTCAGTTCTATAGACTTGATAGAGTTCCTGGGGTGCATCTATACGAGGCATGGGCAAACTTGGGCCCTCCCTCCAGGGGTTTTGGACTCCAACTCCCACCATTCTGAACAGCCTCAAGCCCTTTGCTTTCCCTCCTCAGCCGCTTAAGCCACAGCGGGGAGCTGTCACTCCAACTTCCGTAGACATCCTCCCAATGTCCTTATGGGCACCTTTATTGCCTCCTCGCTTAAAGCGGTACCTATTTATCTACTCACATTTCTGCTTTCCATCTGCTAGGTGAGCAGAAGCTGGAGCTGATGGTCAACTCCTCACTCCGACCCGGAGTTGGACTGTCAACCTTTTGATTTTCTGCAACGAAGCGGTTTAACCCGCTGTGCTAAGCCCAGTCCCTTTTGCTAAGCACTTATAAGCATCGGAAATGCAATTTTAGTCCTGGGGGACTGAGTAGTCTCAGTTGCTGAGTATCTCAAGCTTCTCAATACAGACACCTGCAGTTCACTCAGATATAGAGAAAAGCACGTCGCAGTTTTATGTTTTATATCGTCTGGGCGGACGGCACAATTTTATTCTATTATTATTATTACTATTATTATTATTTTACTCTATTTATTATTATTGGAAGGATACATAAGCATATTTACATTGAAGAAGGTTAGAGTAATGGTTGAATCAGAGTTGGACAGTCTTATGTTGAATTACAGTTTTATGTAAATATTTAAAAACATTTAACCAACTGATGCCTCGATTAATGTAATTTAATTGGTATCTATTTTTATTTTGAAATTGACCCATAAATGCTGCATTTCCCACCCTTGGCTTATACTCGAGTTTTTTGTGGTAAAATTATGTCCCTCGGCTTATATTCGGCTCGGCTTATATTCGAGTATATACGGCAGTGTTTCTCAACCTGGAGGTCGGGACCCCTCGGGGGGTCAGTCATGAGGAGGTGGCGGAGGGGTCACCTAAGACAATCAGAAAACAGTATTCTCTGTTGGTCATGGAGGTCTCTGTGTGGGAATTGAGGTGCAATTCTATCATTCGTGGGGTTCAGAATGCTCTTTAATTGTAGATGAACTATAACTCCCAGCAACTACAACTTCCAAATGTCAAGGTCTATTTTCCCCAAACTCCACCAGTATTTACATTTGGGCATATTAAGTATCTGTGCCAAGTTTGGTCCAGATCCATCATTGTTTGAGTCTACAGTGCTCTTTGGGTGTAGGTGAACTACAACTCCCAAACTCAAGGTCAATGCCCATCAAACCCTTCCCGTATTTTCTGTCAGTCATGGGAGTGCTGAGTGCCAAGTTTGGTTCAATTCCTTCGTTGGTGGAGATTCAGAATGCTCTTTGATTGTAGGTGAACTATAACTCCCAGTAACTATAACTCCCAAATGACAAAATCACCCCCTCAATCCCACCAGTATTCAGATTTGAGCTTATTGGATATTTGTGCCCAATTTGGTCCACTTATCATATATTTACATGACGATTCATAATAGGAGCAAAACTACAGTTGTGAAGTAGCAACGAAAATAATGTGATGGTTGGGGGTCACCACAACATGAGGAAGTCTACTAAGGGCTCGCGGCATTGGGAAGGTTGAGAAACACTGATCTACGGTAAATTAGATTTGAATCCTCAGGAGCATTATGGATTATGCAATATATTTCGCCCATGTAGACCACCCCCCGGTCCGTAATAATTTGGGGCCTTGAAGGAACTCACCTCGGGCGTCAGGGGCTCCTCGTCCGTTTCATTGGCCATGTCTTTGGACAATTCCTACAAACTATTTGTGGGCGATTCCCTCCAGAAACCCTCCTTCTGCTGGTTTGGAACAACGTCCAGTTCCCGCTCTGGAAACGAGCATTGCTTTCTGGACTTCGAAAGGGAAGAGCGCGTCCTCCATCACAGATGGAGCGGGGAGAATTCACCTGGGAACGAGGCTTTCTCGCTGACTTTTGGGATTGCAGGTGAGTTTCTGGGTTGTAACTCCATCACAGGCCGATGGTTGTGACATCAACTGCATCAAGGTTCTGAGCCTGGCATTATTATTACCTCACTTTTTAGGGGGAAAGGATTGCATCAGGATCCTTAGTGGTCAGGTTTATATGGATCAGATCTTAGGGAGTAGGCTTGGGCATGGATTCGGAATGGTCTGCACCCTTCGGTCAGTTGGGCTTGGTCAGATCTCCATAACGGCAAGGGCCCAGGCATCACATTTTTCCATCTGTAACAGGACCACGTGACAGCCGATCACGGCTCCTCGTCCCCTATTTGGCATCATGGGACGTGCAAAGAGGCCGCCACATGCTACTCGCACGGGGTTTCCCTGTGAGCTCTGCCTCTTGAGCCAGTCGGAACTGAAGAACGCTGCGATGTGTTTTGGGCAAGCTGTGCCTGGTTCCTTAACCTGGTTGATGAAACCTAGGCTCCCTTGAAGGGAAGAAAGGAAAGGGTCCCAGGATTCTTTACTTACTTAGGCGATCCCTCATTGGACGAGTAAGAGGGTCTTCCATGATGGGTTTCCTTGTGGGTCCGTATGTGGCTGTGGAGCCCTATTCTTGACCCGCATCTTCTTCCACAGTGAGGAGGGCATTGGTTTCCAGACGGAAGGCGGTCCCGGTCGGGGTTGGCTTGATGCGCCTTCCTCCTGGCACATCTCTCTCTTTCACCCTCCACTCGTGCCTCCTCGAATTCTGCAGCACTGCTGGTCACAGCTGACCTCCATCTGGAGCGCTCAAGGGCCAGGGCTTCCCAGTTCTCAGTGTCTATCCCAGAGTTTTTAAGGTTGGCTTTGAGCCCATCTTTAAATCTCTTTTCCTGTCTACCAACATTCTGTTTTCCATTCTTGCGTTCAGAGTAGAGCAACTGCTTTGGGAGATGGTGGTCAGGCATCCGGACAACGTTGGCCAGTCCAGCGGAGTTGATGGTGGAGGACCATCGCTTCAATGCTGGTGGTCTTTGCTTCTTCCAGCACGCTGACGTTTGTCCGCTTGTCTTCCCAAGAGATTTGCAGGATTTTCCGGAGGCAGCGCTGATGGAATCGTTCCAGGAGTTGCATGTGACGTCTGTAGACAGTCCACGTCTCACAGGCATAGAGCAGGGTTGGGAGGAATAGCTTTATAGACAAGCACCTTGGTCTCCCTACGGATGTCCCGGTCCTCAAACACTCTCTGCTTCATTCGGGAAAATGCTGCACTCGCAGAGCTCAGGCGGAAAATCCTGCAAATCTCTTGGGAAGACAAGCGGACAAACGTCAGCGTGCTGGAAGAAGCAAAGACCACCAGCATTGAAGCGACGGTCCTCCAACATCAACTCCGCTGGACCAGCCATGTTGTCCGGATGCCTGACCACCGTCTCCCAAAGTGGTTGCTCTACTTTATAGACAAGCCCCTTGGTCTCCCTGCGGATGTCCCGGTCCTCAAACACTCTCTGCTTCATTCGGGAAAATGCTGCACGTGCAGAGTCAGGCTCCCAGGATTGGAAAGGACTGGAAAGGATTGGAAAGCAGGGCCTCCTAAATTCCCCATTGCCACCAATGGGCCAGATCTAGATGCACATCTATACAGGATGTAAGGCTCTGGTTACATCCTGTATAGACCACTGCAACACTCTCTGTGTGGGGTTGCTTTGAAGATTGCCTGGAAGCTGCAACTAGTCCAACATTCGGCAGCCAGGCTACTCAAAATGCACAAGCCTAATAGATAATCTTGAAAATATATTTCAATGCCGGGTTACATGATAAAGTCCTGCACAACTTTCACGCTTTGTACCAGGGATAAAGGATAGGTGTTGGCATGGCTGTGAAGGTGAAGCTCATCTTGCCAGTTTTGTGGATTAGCACTTCCGATCTCCATTGAAATGCCTTCCTTTTGCGGAGCTATGCAGGGTGTAAACGGCGGTATTTAATGTAGTTCCTCCCTCCTGTGATATACAACCCGTTGTTGGAAGGCAGGAGCTTTTTATCCTTCTCCCGAGACCTCGTAAAATAATCGTGGGCTTGGCCGTATGAAGATGAACTGAGCGCAGTGTAAGCTTTCCCTGATTGAATGGCTCCCCGGACGCCCCTAAAACAAGATGGAGACCTCCTTGCTCGGGCTAAAGAGAGGAAAATACATGAGCAAGGAGCCCATCCGTGGCAGGGAACGGGAAAGAAGGGGCTCTGAGACCAGGCAAGATTGCCCACAGGCTTCAAGAAGCCCCCAGTCTTATTTTGGAGCATTTGCAAAGCCCCCAAGCGCCCCCATCCCTAATTATATCATTTTCTTTTGTCTGCAAATAAAACCTAAACAATCCAAGCTCTCTGATCTCTTAAAAATGTCCTCAATGCAATATTTCTGGACGCATCCATGGATGGAAAAGGATGCTGGAATAAAGCTGGAAGGGGGAAAAGGTGGTCGTCCAGGTCCTTCAGATCAGTAATATTTGGAGATCAGTGGCCTCTAAGGATAAGCGAGTTGGAAGAGACCACGTGGGCCATCTAGTCCAACCCCTGCCATGCAGGAAAAGCACCATCAAAGCATTTGGACAATTTCTGCTGGAGCTAGGTGTGAATGTATTGTCGAAGGCTTTCATGGCCGGAATCACTGGGTTGTTGTAGGTTTTTCCGGGCTATATGGCCATGTTCTAGAGGCATTCTCTCCTGACGTTTCGCCTGCATCTATGGCAAGCATCCTCAGAGGTAGTGAGGTCTGTTGGAACTAGGAAAAAGGGTTTACATATCTGTGGAATGACCAGGGTGGGACAAAGGACTCTTGTCTGCTGGAGCTAGGGGTGAATGTTTCAACTGACCACCTTGATTAGCATATAATGGCCTGACAGTGCCTGGAGCAAACTTTTGTTGAGAGGTGATTAGATGTCCTTTATTTGAGAACACAGAAATGCTGGACCACTCTCTCAACCACCATGTCAGACTACACAGAGAAGCCATTGAAATACACAAGAAGCATGTGGACAATTTCAACAGAAAGGAGAAAACCATGAAAATGAACAAAATCTGGCTCCCAGTATTAAAAAAAACTCAAAAATTACAACAGCGAAACAATAGAGAGGAAACAAACAAGGACATCTAATCACCTCTCAACAAAAGATTGCCCCAGGCACTGTCAGGCAATCAGAATGCTAATCAAGGTGGTCAGTTGAAACATTCACACCTAGCTCCAGCAGTCAAGAGTTCTTTGTCCCAACCTGGTCATTCCACACCCCTTTTTCCTAGTTCCAACAGACCTCACTACCTCTGAGGATGCTTGCCATAGATGCAGGCGAAACATCAGGAGAGAATGCCTCTAGACCATGGCCATACAGCCCGAAAAAAACCTACAACAACCCAGTGATTCCGGCCATGAAAGCCTTCGACAATACAATCAAAGTATCCTGAACAGATGGCCATCCAGCCTCTGATTAAAAGTTCCCAAGGGAGGAGTTTCCACCACACTCCCAGGCAGAGAGTTCCACTGCTGAACAGCTCTTACAGTCAGGAAGTTCTTCTTAATCTTCAGGTGGAATCTCCTTCCCTGTAATTTGAAGCCACGGCTCCATTGAGTCCTAGTTTCCTGGGAAGCAGAAAGCAAGCCTTCTCCCTCTTCCTTGAGGCACTCTTTCACATAAGTAGACTTTACTTGCTTAGGTGATCCCTCGTAGTCCGAGTAGGGTGGTCCTCCAGGGTCAGTGTTTTGGTGGTGGGTCCGTAAGTGACTGTGGAGCCCTATTACCTGAGCTAGCAGGAGTGGTCTCGGACATGGCGTTGAGCTCCCAACGGCTTTTAGTCCTGGGAGATTTCAATGTCCATGCTGAGGCCTCTCTTTCCGGTGCGGCTCAGGACTTCATGGCCGCCATGGCAACCATGGGCCTGTCCCAACTAATATCTGGTCCCACCCATAGTGCCGGGCACACATTGGATTTGGTATTTTCTCAAGGATGGGATGGGGGTGACGGGGTGGAGGAGCTGACCATCGCTCCATTGCCATGGACCGATCACCACTTGATCAGGTTTAGACTAACTGCGCCTCCCAACCTCTGCAGGGGTGGTGGACCCATTAGAATGGTCCGCCCCAGGAGACTTATGGATCCAAATGGACTCCTGATGGCTCTTGGGGATTCCCCCACCTCCTTGGCTAGCGATCCTGTCAATGTCCTGGTCACTCGCTGGAACAGTGAGTTGACCAGGGCCATTGATACAATCGCTCCGGAACGCCCCCTCTCAAATAGCCGAGCTAAACCAGCCTCTTGGTTCACTAAGGAGCTGGCAGCGATGAAGAAAGAAAAGAGGAGGCTAGAGTGCGTGTGGCGCCGGAACCCCACCAAACCAGCTCAAACACTTCTGAAGACCTTTTTAAGGTCCTACGAAGTGGCAATAGCGGCGGCGCAAAAAACATTTCTGGCAGCCAATATTGCATCTGTGAAAAATCGTCCAGCTGAGCTCTTCCGAGTTGTCAGGGGTCTGTTACACCCGCCAAAAAGCGAGGCCTCAGACAACTCGGTGGCTCGCTGTGAAGCATTTGCTCGATTCTTCGCGGATAAAATTGAGCGGATTCGGTCGGGTTTTGACGTCATGTTAACGGCAGTCTCTGGGGATGTAACGAGAGCATCTGCTTGTCCAGTTTTGTTGGATTCGTTTCAATTGGTTCAGCTTGAGGATGTGGACAGGATCCTTGGAGAGGTGCGACCCACCACATGCATCCTAGACCCCTGCCCTTCCTGGCTGATCAAGGAAGCCAGAGGGGGTTTGGCAGAGTGGGTGAAGGTGATGGTTAATGCCTCCTTAC